CCCCGACACCCACCAGCAACATGGCAAGGAAAGCAGCTGCCATCAAGACGCTCTCCACGATGATGAGGTTGATGCTACGGGGCAAGCTCTGCAGCACCGTCTTGTTGAAGCCAGTCAAGGTCCCGTGGCTCAGGGTCCCTGCCAGGGACAGGGGGCAGGTCTCAGACCCAGCTGGGGACACCACTGCCACCACTGTCCCACCGTGTCCTCACCGCAGTGCTTGACCTCGTACAGCGTGTGGTTGAGGTGGTAGAGGTAGTTGTTGAGGAAGAAGAACATGGGCATCTGGGCGCAGACAAAGCTCAGCTGCAGGGCAATGGAGTTGAGAGGGATGATGATCCACAGCCTCCCCCCAAGCCACTGGGGACCCTGCCACCAGCTCCTCACCTGGAAGCAACTATAGAAAACAGTCTGGAAAATGATGATGTAGGAGTGACAAGCCCCCCGGGGCGCTGGCTGCTGCTCCTGCACGTGCTCCTCCTTGTAGTTGGCGTACTCGTAGTACTTCTGAGCCATCCTGCATGGGGACGAGGGTCAACCTGTATGTGTGTGTTTGACCCCCCAGCACCCCTCTTTTTTTCCACCCACCCCCTGAGCTGTCTACCTGGTGATGTAGTTGCCCATGGAAGCCCAGAGAGGCACGATGGCCACCCCGATGGCCACAGCAGAGGGCACCAGCGTGTAGTAGCGCTCCCAGTAGTTGCTGGAGACGAAGAGGGCGTAGACCCCCACTGCCAGGAACATGGCCCACTTGGTGCCAAAAAACCTGCCCAGGCGAGGAGGTGGGGGGGTGGGATGAAGAGCCTGGACTTCCTCCTCCACCCCAAAGTGCCACAGGAGTCTGGTGGGAGCTGCACCTGATGAGGAGGGGGGTGTAGAGCAGCGCGGCCACGGGGGTGACGTTGATGCCCATCAGCACCTTGCGGTCGATGTCCTCCAGCTGGATGTTGCTGTACTTCACTTCCCGGTAAGTCTCGTCGTAGTGGAGGATTAACTGCATCTCCAGCAGGCCTGAGGGGGTGTCCAGTGCCTGTTACCCCCCCACCCTGACCCCCCCAAAAGACCCCTCCCTGGGGAGGGGGGAGGCCATACCCAGGTAGACACCGTAGGTCAAGGTGCCACCCAAACTGGCCGCCACGACGAT